AAGCCAATTGGAGGAGGACCCAGAAGGAATTTTTCAAATCGGATCAGCGGTTCAGGAGATAACGGCGAAGGGCCAAACTCAAGATGGCGGATCCGAAGCAGAAACCCTATTGGAGGGCAAATCTGAAAATAATGCTGAAAATAAACAAACGGTTAAAGGAATACTTACCAAGGACCGAAGATACCTACGATGTACCGGAAAGGGAGTGATGACGTCAGTCAGGAAGAATCCCTGGAGCCGGATAGCCATGAAGCGACACCTGAAAAGAAAAAGGGATAGTCGTGAGAAGAAAAGAAAAAATAAAAGGTTCATACTTACCAGTAGTGAGGAGGAAGATTCAGATAAAGGGAGGATCCAACGGAAAGTAGGATCGGAGCTAAAAGAAATCAAGCCAACCGAACCCAGGACAAGGGACGGAGAGGCGCGAGAAGAGGTACGTGACGCGAAAGTCCAGGAAAAGCGAAAAAACTGAGACGTCGAGCCCGTACAAGACAAACACGCAAAAAACTACGTTCGAGCGTAGCGATCACGCAGTGAGTACACGACAAGATACCACCAAACTCACCGAGGGGAGTGAAAAAGGCAAATACCACGTTAAGGGGGTAGGGCTCTATAGCTCAGTTTTGCAACAGCAAGCGACCGGTGCAGACTGTATCATACAGAAAGCAGTGATAGCGAATAACACACCGGACAAAGGCAGCGACAAGACGAGCGATAGAAGTGATAAGAGAACGCAGGGCGAGATAATTCTGCGCCGCAGAGAGACGTACGCGATGGCACAGAACCAAGGGTACGAAGAGCTAGAGGCGGAACCGGAAATAACCCTCGAAGCTCTAGAGCGTCGGGTGACGGAGGAAATAGACCGTCATATCGCCAAGGAACGCACGTATATTAAAAGGGTGCGTAATTTACACCTAGCGCAGGCGAAATTAACGCATCTCAAAGAGACGCAAGCTTTGAGAGGCGAAACGGCGGATACAGGGGAACGCACGGCGGAAGCGCTGAAAGAAGCGTTGGAAAAGGTGAGCGAGATTACGATGAGGGCGGCACACCACACCTCCAGAATTGTGCCGTTACATTTGTATGGCACAGACTAACGGATAGGAAACGTGGCGGTAACCGTACATTTGGAGCAATGCGCTCACGAGTTACTGAAAACCCACGAAATAAAGGTGGCGTTCGACATAGTGAAAGGTCAAATGACCGAGCCCAAGGTCCGGGTAAAACCATGCGACGAAGAAGAAGCGACACCGGAGCGGATCGCAATCGAGGGACGCGGACCGGAAGGGGACGACGTCCAAACAAATGCGACAACCACCGACAAAGATGACCGGGAGGACGAAGCCTCACAGCGCTTGGAGAAGACCTCTCCGACGCGAGAAAAAAATGACCAAGTGAGCCAGGACGAGCCAGAAACCCAGGTTGACCAACCGGAGAAAGGAGATCAAAGAGGCGAGGTACCACTACCCCAGGCGGAACAGGAGGAGGAACCGCCAATCCTCACACGCCACGATGAGGTGACAGTGATACTGCGGCCGGCAGACATGGCATCCATCATTATGGAGCCAATTACGGATGATGAACTGGAAATCACGTTCCAGAACACCCCAGGCACAGCCAAAACGACGGCAGCCACGGTGAAAGAGGAACGAGTGGTGGAGGGCATGGAGGAGCCCACACGACAATCGGAGACGCAGCCACCGACGCCGAGAAAAAGGAGGCGTCCGATCGGCGATCAGGTGGGCGTAGAGTTTAAAGTAGATGATAATAGCCCGCTAGCCATCGAGCTACGACGGGAAGCGAACCGCCGACAGGCGTTCCGCGATGACGAGCTCACGCCAGAGCAACACCGTTTCTGGGAGGAATGGGATGCGAGTATAAGACACATCCGGGAGCGAGACCCATGGGGGAGCCCACGCTCCACCTTCTCGGAGGCGGTGGCCAAAAGGCCGGAGAACTTTGGCAGCCCACCAAGAGAAGGCAGAACAGAGGACGGGCCGAGGCCACGAGCGTCATCCCACGACGCGGAGCCATTAGTCGCGAACAGGGGTGAGCGAAAAGGGGAGGCAGACCGGCGCAGGGACCGCGAGAAGCGACGACGCCGCGACGGGTGCTCGACAAAGGGCCGCACCCGCACGGACCAGCCCAGGAGCCAAGGAGGACGCTTCGCCACGAAGGGCGAAAAGAAGCAGCGGGCCTAATCAGTCGCCGGTGAGAAGTCGCAGTGCCTGTCGCCAGGAACAGCGACTCCAGGAGGCGAATGCAGCCGGAGGGAGCCTCCGCCAGCAGCTCCGGATTTGACCTCCGAGGAGGAGAAGCGGGAAACGACCCCGCGCAAATGTACAGAGATAGTAAGTAAGATTAGCTAGGATTAAGTGAAAAAAATGAATGACAAAAACACCAAAAAAATATAAATTAGTTATAGAACATATATAGCCGATAGTATTAAGGAAAAGCCGATAATTTTATGTTATCATATAGTTTTGGACTCAGTTCAGAGAGCCAAACATACAATCTTTTTAGTTGGTTAGAGGCGCGTAGCCTCAATAGTTTCGGAAAATCCGAAAGAACAAAATAGACGCGGGAAGGATACGCGGCAAGTCAAAACGCGACCAGAACCGGATAAAAAAGGGGGGTCCGTAAAATTGACGATTGACACGCAAGTAACGGCGGGATCGAAAAACGCGACCGTTACGTACAAGTATGGCAGGAAACCAATCCGGGAGCAAATTCTGGACCACAAAGATATACCGGGTGTACACAAAATCTCGGTTTTACACAACAAATTTTAACGTATCGAAAAACGCCACCGTTATAACCGACTAGGACGCATTAGGAGCCGAATACTCGGAGACGAGCGTGAAAGATATATC